TGTGGACTGTATAGTCCATGGGGTTGCAAAGAGTCGGACACAACGGAGTGAGTTTTGCTCACTCACTCAGAGCTGATGGCAGAACTGTACAGATGGGGATGACAAAGACTCTCTTCTTGATCAAACTAACACCAAACTCCTCCAAGCCCCTTTCTGATTAAGCCTCATCCTTGAGTCCTCTCTGGCCTGCTTAGTCCAGTTTTAGCAAGATTTCTGCTAAGTCAGTTTAGAGAGAATCCCCCATCCTTAATATCTGATTACCCCTGATATCTGATCAAGTTTCTCATTCTCCACCTTTGAGGTATAAATCCTTGACCTGCCTTCAGCAGGAATCCTGTTAAGTGGGTTCAACAAGAATCCCCCTTGCATTGTCTCCTCCTAGTATTGTCCCATGGACTCCTTGTCATTCTGCTCCTTGCCTGGAAATCCCCGGCTGTCTTTGCCATATTCAGAGGTGAACCTTGATCTCTCTCCACTATTGCCATAGTCTTGACCCCAATTGCAATAGTCCTGAACAAAGTCTTCCTTACAGTTTTAATAAGAGTCAGAACAAGATTGTAGTTTAATAGGATTGAGAGGTGGGAAGGAGAAGCATCCTTGCTTTGTTGCTTCTAACATTAGAATCCCTCAAACAGTCAACTTTGCTTTTCTTTATGTTTACCTAACAACCTCTGATGGAGTCTAGCTCCCAAAGTTGTTTTCAGGCTGAAGAGACTATACCTCACCATCTTACAGTTCTCACTGATATTTAATATACTGGCATTGGTGCTGGTTTGTATGCTTCTGTGACTAACTTAATCATGGAGCAGTATACCTGCGGCAAGCACATTGACAGAAAAGAAGTTTCTGGGCCTGCAAAAGAGAGGCCCAGAAGGTGATACCTGGTCATGGTGAGCTACAGCATTTAAGAATTACTGCTGGAGCTTAGATGACGGAGTGACTAGTGAACAATAGCAACCAGTTTTTGAAAAAAAAGTCAATAGGGAGCTAGAGATGAGGAAATAGTGTGGATAATACAAATTATTTTGGCCATTGCATTCAAAATTTAATCTTTTTTTCGCACTGTTTACATTCTAAGACTCAATATACATCTTGTATTGTCACCCTTTATCACTCAGATTTGCCCATGGCTGTATCCTGACTTGGAAATATAATTATAATGCAGAATCTGGTTCAGAGGTCCTGGTGGGGTGGAGACAGGAGTCTGTGTTTCTGGAAAGCTCCTATGTGTTGCAGATGCTGCTGGTTCAGGGCACTTAGAGTATAAAAGGTGAGGTGTCATCGTCTCTAGTCTAGAGTATTGGTATAAACTCCTAAATGGTCTCCCTGCCTCTTTTTCCAATCCATTCCCCAAGCTGCAGCCAGTGTGATCTTTCAAAAATGCAAATCTAAACGAGTTCTGCCAGTTTTTCTGCTTCCCATAACCCTCAGAGCCTCAGATCCTGCTGCTGTCTCCTTCCTCGCCTTCAGGCACCCACTCCTGTCTCAGGCTCACTGTTCCAGCCCCCATGAATTAGACTCCATTCCTGTAAGCACCTGTCAAGTCTAGTTCTCTGCTTTCTCACAAGTTCTTCTCATCTGACAAACATTATTTCTATTCCCTATCTTTACCTCTCCCATGTCCTCCCAAGTTATGAACCTTTCTCTCCTCTCTCATCTCTTCCATTTATTGTATTTATCAACCTATATAATTACTTGTCTCAAATTTCTATCAATAGATCATGAATGAGGGAAAGAGGTACCTGTATTTGTTTTAATTGAATCTCTGTCACATTGTTTCACATATAGAAAATATTCAAAATATATTTATTGAGTTGAATCAGAAAAGGAAGAGTGTTAAGGAAGCAGTAGCCTGTAAAGGTTTCAGACTGATACCTCATTTGGTCTACTCCAGACAGTCACAAACAGGGTTACTAAATATTAAGGACAAAATTGATCAGGTCATCAAATTGACAATATGAAGAACTGTAACTACTTTAAAATAAAACTAGGCTTGCAGTTCTGTTTAAATTCTGTTTTATCTAAATAATACAGAATACATTTTTTATACATAAAACGAAGGAGCCCTGACCAGCTGTTCTCAATTTTCAGAGAAGGGCTAGCAAATATAAGCATAAATTATAGTTAGATATGCAAAATATAAAGATTAGATAGTAAGTAGGAGTAGGGGTTAGATAGCCTGTGAGAGACCCTTCTGAAAAATGTTTCACATGATAAATAATTTTTAGATCTTAATTTGTGAGATGTTGTAGATGGAGTCAAACAGCTATAATCTTTAATAGCATCTTGGAACTTTACATGAACTTCAGAGATGTATTATAAAAGAAAAATCAAAATGGTACGAACTCAAGAATAAAACAGGCACACGGGCCTAACATAAAAGTCTGTGCGGCTGAAGTATATCAATTCAATGAGGCTTATTTATTGTATTATATACAAAAGTATAATTGATAATCTGTTGCATTTTCATGTTTTTCTTTCACTATGCTTTTTTTTTTTTGACTAGAGACTGTCTTTTTTAAGGAAAGAATGGCATCTGAAAGTACTAGGATCCACCTGGCCTTTTAGTTTTCTCATTACCTGATCCAAAATTCCTGATCTGGCTCAGGATTCTGGTGTAAAATAAACTACTGGATTCCCATCAAGGTACTGTCTTAGAAAAGATCCCCAAGGGAGCCCACCTGCCCCACCCTAGGAATTCCTCCAGGTGAACAATGCTCCCATTGTTTATCTTCGTTACTCTCAGAGCCACACCTGGTAGAAGCCAGAAGCTGCCCATACCCACCTTCTCAGAAAAAATGAAAGAAAAAAAAAAACCAGGAAAAATGGAGTTAGGAAATGATTCAATGTATCAAAGTATCTTTTTGTGTTTTGTGTGCAAGAATATATAATAGTTTCATGGGTGTGAATTTGCTTTCAATATAAATATGCTAAACCTATTATTTACTGATTACTCACATGCTAGAACTTATTTAAAAAATCTCCCTTTTTTTTCTTTATTTGTGGCTGCCCAAGGGCTTCTGTGGGGCTTCCCTGGTAGCTCAGCTGGTGGAGAACCCGCCTGAAATGCAGGAGACCCCAGTTCGATTCCTGGGTCAGGAAGATCCCCTGGAGAAGGGGTAGGCTACCCACTCAAGTATTCTTGGGCTTCCCTGGTGGCTCAGATGGTAAAGAATCCGCCCGCAATGCGGAAGACCCGGATTCGATCCCTGGGTTGGGAAGATGCCCTGGAGGAGAGCATGGCAACCCACTCCAGTATTCTTGCCTGGAGAATCCCAGTGGACAGAGGAGCCTGGCGGGCCACAGTCGACGGGGTCGCAAAGAGTTGGACAGGACTGAGTGACTAAGCACAGTACATCACAAGGGCTTCTGTAGTTGTGACACCCGGGCTTAGTTGCCCCATGGCATGTGGAATCTTCCCGGACCAGGGATCCAACTCATATCCCCTGCGTTGGCAGGTGGATTCTTAACCACTGGACCACCAGGGAAGAATGCTAGAACTTCTGATACATATTTTATCTTGTCTTTGTGACCACTAGGAAAGTTAGGTATTACACTCCCCAGTGAAGAGAAGCCCAGAGAGAATCAGTCTCAGTCACTGGCTGATCCGAGATCCACACTTGGATCAACCTCATTTCTAAACCTAAATTCTTTCCTCTAAGTTCTGCTGCCTTCCAGAAAGCAAAGCCCCAAAGATAATCTCATTGGAAGTTTCGACTAACTTTATTTAGTTAAAAAATAGAGGAAAAAAAGGAACGCATGCGTGAACAGACTTTATCGGGGGTATCCAAAAAGCTCGTGCGGACTGATACTGGACCTTAGAGAGGCTATTGGTAGCCCCCAACCCTCGTCCCAATACTTCCGCCTCTCGACTTCCGCAGGTGTTGATTGTTACCCGGGAAAACCGCAGCGCGCGGAGCGGTAGCGAGAAGGTTATGGTAGAGAGCTGAGGTCTAGCGATTTGCAGACGTCAGTCTTTAAATGTGTATTCAATCTGTCCTCGTTCACTTCCACTACCTCTTTCCCACCCAGCTATTCGCTGATAGCCTTGAAATTCTCCCCTCTTCCAAACCGTCCTCCCCCAAACCCTCCTTCACGCGCCAGATAATCGGGATATGTAATTTCCTCTCGTCTGAGCCCTCTGCGGCTGCTCCTTGCTCCGAGGATGAAGTTTAAACACCCTTCCAGGCCCTCCGCGTTCGGCCCCTGCTCAGTACTCTGGCTTCCCTCTCCCGGTCATGAACTCTCCTGTTCGCCTTGCTTCCCCCACGCAGGCCCTTTTCTCCCTCAGCTCTTCTGCGCAGCAGGCAAGTTCTCCTGCCCCCCGCCTTCAGCTTTCCCGAGCCCCATTCGCTCTCTGAGCCTCAGCTTAGATGCCTCTTTTTAAGTGAAGCCTTTCGTGTCTAATTCCTACCTGCAGTCTCAACTCCTGCCATCTAATTAGACCTTCCTGGGTGTACACTGGAGCTCTTCGTCTACGATTGCAATTTTCATTGCATACTTGCCTGATTATTTTTAATGTCTGCCAAGTGTCACAAAGTTTTACCGCCGTGCCTGGAAGGCACACTTCTGAAACCTAGTAACTTTTCAATGAGTGAATGAATGAGGGAACTTGAACTGGATGTTTTCACCACCATCATCCTACCGTGACAATATTTCGAGTCCCCCATTGCTACTGTCAATGGCATGCTCACCTCCGTGGGCTTAGCAACGCCCAGGAGGAGAGTAGGCGGCGCGCCCACCCCTGGCTCCGGGACTCTGGGGACGCCCCAGGAACAGTGCGGCTCGGGGCGGGTCTCACCGCCGGGAGGCCTCGGGGCTCCCAGGTTCACGTGCACCGGGGAGGAGGGGCGGAGGAAAAAGAGAGCGTTTGCTGGGAGCTCCCGGGGCGCCTCCACCCCGGCGGCCCGCCGCCACCCGGGAGCCACTTCCTCCTCGGGGGCCGGCGTGCGGGGCGGGGCAGGAGACGCCCCCGCCGGGCTGGGCCCCGGGCCGCCCCAATGAGATTCGGTGCCCGGCCGCGGCTGCGCCCAGTCCAGGCGCTGCGCTCGGCCGCGGAGGAGGCTCGGCGCGGCCTCCTGGCCCTGCTGCTCGCGGTCTCCGCGCCGCTCTGGCTGCAGGCGGAGGAGCTGGGTGAGTGGAGCGTGTCCGGCGGGCGGCGGGCTGGGCCTGGAGGGACAGCGCGCGGGGGGAAGTCGGAGTCGCAGCCTGTGCCTGGAGTCCCTCTCTCTCCGGCCGATGGCGGCTCGGGTCAAAAATAAGTTACTGCATTCCGATCGCTCCCCACCAAACTCCTTCCTTCGCCCGCAGACACTTCGCGCCTCCCAACTTTCTCTCTCCCCTCTCGGTTGGTTTCCAGACTTCCTGACTCTGCGGGCCCCGTGAGAAGTGACATGGCCCGGGGGGTCGCGAAATGAAGACCCCAGCCTTAGGGGGAGGATGTTAGTGGGGGAGGCGCCTCTCAAACCTTTTGACAGAGTTGCCCACAGCCGGCCGCCTCTCGTCCCTGTGCAGCGTGTGAGTTTCTGGCTGGCACGGATGGTTGGGAAAGGATTCCCCGAGGTCCGCCCTGGAAAGCCGGCAGCCCCAAACAGGCCGCCCCTCTAGAGTGTGCTGCTGCGCCCCGACTTGGAACCGTGTGGCTCGGCTCCTTCTTGGGTGTCTGAGCGAGTCTCCCGACCTGGCTGATCGTTCTCTGGACCCGGTCCTTGCCTTCAAGTTGGACCAAATTAGTCCACCGGCGAGTTTACTGCTGCTTATCCAGCAGATGAAAGCAGTAAGCCGTTTTACCAGCTGTAGGCAAATCCTTGAAATTTAGTTCTTTATTGATCGTGAGGGGCAGCTTTCTGCGGAGTTTTCCTGTGGTTTCCCTTCTGCCTTACTTTTGCCCCTCTGCAACCCAGATGATTTAATGGCAGTGCATCTATCCAGACTATTCTGACGGCTCCCCACCCCGTGTTTTCTAATGGGACAAGAACCAATGCTAAACCAAAGGCAGGCATTTTGGTCACTGAACCCTATATTCTCAGTCTGAAACTTTGATAGTCAAGATGTTGGTTTTGGTTCCTAAATTAGCTTACATACCTATTTGTTAGGAAAGAAAGAAAGAAAGAAAAACCCTAAAATTTAGGCAAACTGTGTCTTGGCACTGTAGCAGAATGCTAGGAATGTTGTAAAATATTGATAAATGAGTGTATTTTTATTAAATATGTAGGATTTTGATCATGGGTGTTTTAAGCCCGCAGAAAATGTTTCTCAGGTCATTGTTGGAAGATGCACCTTCAGTATTGTACATCTATGAATAGATCCAGCAGTGTGTTCCTATACTAGTCTGGCCACAGCTGTCACCATCTTTCCAAATGCAGTTTTTTTAGACGTTATATGGCATCCAGACTGTTAACTGGGTGCTTTATAGAGCAGTCTCTGGGAAGTAGTGTGACTGCTTAGATTCTTAGAGCTTCACATTTGATACTTCATTGCACAAAATTGTTGGAAGAAGATGTCATGTTTCCATGAAGAATCCTGTATATTTAGGACGTTAAAAGAACCAATGAAGGCATAGGTATTCAGTCACAAAAGCAAAACTTAGATTTGGTACATTTATTGAAAAAATCCAGGAATTCGAGTTCTGATATCTCTTGAGTGAAGAGGCATAATCAATGATTTTTGAGTATCTCTCACGTCTGTGGTATTTTGGATTAGCCCTTGCTCACTTGTTTTTCAAGTTCTCGTAAATTTAAGCATGCAAAACCATTTTAGGTTTTGAAATATGCTACTGGGTTTGATGTTTGATGATCTCCAGTGATATTAGTGTTCTTAACGTTTAAAAAGTAAGACTCGTGCCTTAGCGTGAGTCTGGTTTTGTTAAGATGACACTGTTTATTGCATTTTACTATCATTGTTTTTGAAGGCAGCTTAGTCTGCCTTCTTGGCAGTCTTGGGAGTCTTCTTGGTTCCCCAACCTGCTTGATCACCACTGTCTCCAGAAGCTTTGTAGAGCCCCAAACCCATACTGTGAATCAGAACATCCAATGGGTGGGGCCTGGGAAGATGCGATTCTAAAAAGTTCCCACAGGTAATTCTGATTCAAATCAGCTTTGAGATGGTGGAAACATCTGACATTGTATAATGTTAATTATATATATCATATATATTATTATAACATATATAATACTGTATAATGATAATATGATAAAGTGCTACTACCATCTGTGTCATAGACCATTTATTTAATATTAGACTTTTATTCATTGTGTTGTTTCAGAAAATAAATGTGATAATCTGAATATTTATAGGCCTAGTCAATGAAATTATTCATTTTTTAAAAAAAAGTCAGAATTTGGTGATGCCTGAAGCTATACTGGTTCCTTATAAGACTGCTGCTTCCTATGTGCTGTTTTTGCTATATATATATATATATATATTTTTTTTTTTTTTTTCTTTTTAAGTCCATTCTTCTATATTCACTGCCAGGCATACCCCAGGCATTAGGGCTTGATGAGCAGAATATGGGCTGATTTTTGCTCCTTCTTATGTCCTGCTCCTCTGGACCCACTTAACTAACGTTAAGCATTTCCACAGATTGTTTCACATGATTTTGACTTTACATAATATCACATTTGGGGCTTCCCAGGTGGCTTAGCGGTAAAGAATCTCCTGCAATGCAGGAGATGTGGGTTCCATCCCTGGGTTGGGAAGATCTCCTGGAGAAGGAAATGACAACCCATTCCAGTATTCTTGCCTGGAAAATCCCATGGACAGAGGAGCCTGGCAAAAGAATGACTTAGTGACTAAAACAACAACAGTAATGTCACATGTATGTTGATCATTAGCATTGTTTCAGTTTATAAGTCCATAGGCTTGGGCTTAGGTCTTATTACCTTGATTATCAGTTTTGTGAAATAAAATACCTTTTATTCATGTGAGGAATTGGTGCTAACTAAAAATCCCTGATTCTCTCTTCACCAAAATATTTGGAAATGGATATTAAAGATTTCCTTCTTGTTATTTAAGTATTAGGAGAATAAAAATAAGCAGTTAATCTCTGTGGAAACTTGTAAGCATACAATTAGATACAGAAAATATGATTATAAGATTCTGCCCAACTCTAACTTTTTACTTTCAGAAATTCTACTTTTAAGCCATCCATCCTTTATATTTGGTTCAACAGGGGACAGCTGATATCTGATGTTTTGGGTGAGTGGCTTTTTAAAAAGTACTCCCAATTTCTTCTGGCACCTTCTGCATCAGTGCATGCAGTTATCCCAGATTTTCCTTCATCTTGAAGGTCTGCCATTTGGTCAATGTGATGAACTCTAAGTTCTGGCGGGCAGTGATTGGGATTGTCTTTATCTTCATAGCACCTGACCAATAAATGTTTCTCAAGTTGAACTGAACAGTGTCTTTTTATTGAGAAGATATTTTCAAATTGTCCTCCTTAGAGGAAACTAAGTAATGAAGGGTCTACCAAAGTTCTTATGAAGGCACATCTGATGCTTCCACTAATTAACTGTGTTTCGCAAGCCCAGCTCTCTGGGCATGCTTATTTCTGTACATCAGGATGCCTTCTAAATGCAAGTGCAGCAGAAAGAAGGGAGGGTGGCCACCAGAACAATATGTCTTTTGGCACTAGTAGGTGTAATCTATAACTGGCACCATGAAACCTTAAGTTATACCATATATTTCAGAGGAGAAAAAGTTGTGCTGAAGGATTAATTAAACATATCAAAGGATGTTATTAAAACAGGATTTGAACTCTGAAGTGTCTCAGACTGTACTTACCAACTTTTCATAAGTTGAACCCTTTCACCTTAGGGTACCGGAGCAGACTAGAAAATCGTATTAAAAACCACAACTTGGAAATAAGCAAGACATTTATAAGAAACTAGATTTTTATTTTTCAGGTGCAAGGGGAAATTAACTGTAGCATGTAGCAAAGATTTTAGTCATGTTAAGGCAGTGAGGTTATGGGACAGGGGAGAGGGACTTGTTAAGGGAAGTATTTCCTAGAGAGTTTTGGACTTACTGCTATGCCTGTCCTGAATCAGGAAGTCAAATCTCTGCATATTAGAGCAACCAGTTGTTTTGAAATTTCAAGGAGATAATGTCCTGTGCTTGGTCATGTCCGACTGTTTGCAACCCCATGGACTGTAGCCCGCCAGGCTCCACTGTCTGTGGGATTTTCCAGGCAAGAATATTGGAGTGGGTTGCCATGCCCTCCTCCAGGTGAGGAGATAATACATGATACCTATTTGGACTTGCTGGTAGCACAGAGAACTCAATAATTGGCAGCTACCTTACTAATCGTTATTGTTTGTTACTATTAATTTGACACATACAGGACCCTTTGTTCTGCTTCCCCCACTGCCTCCTGGACCTCATTCTCTACCACACTGCATGTTCCCAGCCATACTGACTTTCTCACTATTTCTCGGTGCTATCAGTCTCCCTTCTAGCTCAGAGCCTTTGCAGGTGCTATTCCCTCTGCCTGGAACTGGCTTGTCCCCAAATGTCCACACTTCTTTCCCCGTTAGTCTTTCTTCGGACCTTGCCTTTGGAAGACCACCAGCCCTAACCACCTGGAGCCCTCTCGTCTTCCCCAGAACTCCACATGCCCTGCTCCCTGCTTGCAGTTTTCTCCAGAGCACTTCATATCTTCTCACAGAGTAATTTATACTTTTCTTTCTTGTCTGTCTCCCCTCCATGAGAATGTGAGGTCCATGAGAAGCCTGGTGCGGTGAATAGTGGCCAGCACATGGCGGGTGCTCTGTAGGAAATGGGTGCTCAGTGAGAACAGGGTGAGAAGACAGTGAAGATCCAGTTCCTGCCCTGTGGTTGAAGACTCTGAGCTAACTCTAGCTGAGAATCACAACCTGAACAAGACAAAGTACTGAAGTTGTATGTCTAGTCCAACTGCTATTTGTAAACAGAAAGTCTGAAAATATGGATTTAAAATAGAGGAACTCACACAAAAGCAGAAGATATTAAGAAGAGGTGGCAAGAATACACATAAAACCTATACAAAAAGATCTTCATGACCCAGATAACCATGGCAGTATGATCACTCACCTAGAGCCAGACATCCTGGAATGCGAAGTCAAGTGGGCCTTAGAAAGCATCACTACGAACAAAGC